GCTTGCACTTAGCTGTGCCTACTGCAAGGCCGCTCCATGTCAACTCACTCGGTCAGTCGCTGCGAGGACATTAAACTTGCTGGCTTCACTTTGCGAGTTCATCGGCTTAAAGATGTCGAAGAAGGCCTCAGGCGCGCAGGCGGCCACATTCACGGCCGAAGTCTGTGTTCTGTCACTGCATGCAGTGTCTTGTAGCTGAAGCAGACTGTCCGGATAAAGTGCTTTCTTTTCTTGCCAGATTTATTGCTCAATGCCCAGTCGGTATTGTCTTTCAGCACAATGGCTTTGCGCGTGTGTTGCCAGCATTAGAGACCTTGAAATGGCGAACGATGCTTCCTGAGATACCAAGACATGTACATTTACAAAAAAAATATCTTAGGTGGAATTCACAAGTTGGGCAACAAATAAGACGAGTAGGCCCATGTCCATATGGATGCATGCTAATATTAGCAAGGTGGCGGCACCCAAACGCCGGGGAACTCCAAGGTTTCCGTCGGCTTCCAAGTCGTCTAATGCTGTATTTGTTTTTTTTATTGCAGACTGTATTTTCAGGCCTATCGATTATACCAAAGCACGGTCTATAGAACATTTTCTGTACCATGAACGAATCTGCATGCGATCTATTTTTTAGTCCTGTCTATTATATGATGACCCTGTCTATAGACGATTATAAACTTTACAGCAAGTCTGTGCTAGGCTTGCGGCTGAATACAGCAGTGTTACTTATTACCTTCCAAGCTTATTAGCTTCCATCCGTAGCTTCCATCTAGTTTCGAAGCTCCCTGCTGCTGGAACGGTTCGTAAAACGGCGGCTGGTAACATTATCATCATCATCAGCAGCAGCAGCAATCATCGTCGTAGTGCGTGACAGTAACGAAGTACAACACCTTATCCACACCTTCTATCTGCAGGGTTGTACAATCGCTGAACAAATGTATGGCGAATATTCCCGGCTATTTCATTTTGTTCGCATAAACGAGCGAACGGCAGGAATTTGTATATAGACAAATATTTCACACAACAAAAATGCAGGCGCGGCTTTTTCCCAAGCCATTTCGGCGGCGATTGCGAGGTTGTATACGAGCGCATTCAGCAGCAGCAGTATTACGCTATTTGGCTGTCGCAGCAGTTTCAGCCTAAAGAGTAAACAAGTGCAGTAAGCGCGTTAAGTGTAACGTTCATTAATGTGAACCAGCAGCAGGGCGGCTGCAAATGCGATAACAAATGCAACTGCTGCCCGTCGCCGCCGCCGCCGCCGTAAGTCATCATCCGCAGAAGGTGTAGCTAGAAGGTGGAACACATTGCTAGCTGCTGTAGCTGCGACGGAGGTTTTACCAAGCTTCGCTGTTACCACGACTGCTTAGGGTAACGGCACACGGCGGATGTCTCCCTTCAGGATGTAAACAGCGGTAGAGGAATAATAATAAATATTCACTGGTGAACGGCGGTCCTGAATGGTCAGCAACAGTGAACGGCTGGATAAAGGGCCAGTGAACGTTCACCGCCGCCCACTGTTCACTGAACGTTTGGAATGTCATGCCTGAAGCCTGCGGGCACCGCCGTGGAAGTGAAGTGAATGTGGAAGTGCCCAGAAAGTGCCCGGACACAAAGCCAGGATTGGGCGGTATGTAACATGCTTTCAAGTTCACGTTGTACTACTACATTGTTCACCATACATGCCGCTACTGTAGGTCTTTTAGGTTCTCGTTACGGCTACCCGGCATGCGGCCGCATGCATGTTGTTGTTGTTGTTGTTGTTACATGGTCGTGGGTGCGTTCCCCGTACCTGCAAACCACCCTAGTACGAGCCGAGGGCTCAAGGGCTGCCAAATCGCCTATAAGCACCATCCTACCTCGCACTTCCAACGAAACAAGTAATGAAGTATACTAACGACCAAAGGGAACGATAGAGTTGCGGTGAGACCATATACGTTCCAGCATTCTTGCCAGGCGTTCAGGTTCCCACTTCATAGCGTCCTTCATATGTTCGAAGCGTGGAAAGCCCATATCAGATCTGATTCCGTCGTAAACCGGACAGTCCAGCAAAATGTGTTTCTCATCCTCGATGTGGCTATCAGTGCCGCAGCAGGGGCATACTCGCTCCTCCCTAGGTATATAACGCCGTCCCTTACGCGCTCTGTTAGCCGCCAGTGCCCAACAGCAAAGCCTAAACTGCATAAGCTTGCAATTCGCCGAACGTGGGATAAACATTGTGATGTGCGGGAGCACCTCCTTCCTGCCCGCTTGCTCGGCCGCCGGCCCCATCCAATGCTTATACTTCGCCATGTGATTCCTGGTTGTTTGCCGTCTGACGGATACACGTCAGGCTGGACATCTAAACGTGTATGCTTCCAACCACTCACTAATCGGTCCTTGACTCCGAAATCACACCTTCTGGCATTGGCTTGTTCATCAGCCAC